CCCCCAGCTCTCTGCCCCCCAGATCTCTGTCCCCCGGTCCTGTACCCCCAGCTCTCTGCCCCCCAGCTCTCTGCCCCAACCCACTGTCCCCCCAGCCCCGCGGGCACGGGGATGCAGACACGGACAGGAGTTCCGGCTGAGCTGTGGTGAGCCCCGAAAACACCTGCCCTGACACTGTGCCACAAGTGACACCGACAGCAGCTGGAACAGCCCCTCATGGGCACCGGGAGCCCACTGTGGGCACCGGGAAACCCACCCGTGGGCATCGGGCAGCCCCTTTTGGGCACCGGGAGCCCACTGTGGGCACCGGGAAACCCACCCGCGGGCACCAGGCAGCCCTTTTTGGGCACCGGGAACCCACCGCGGGCACCGGGCAGCCCCCCTTCCCCCCAGGAGGGTTTCATGCACAACGCTCCAAACCAAACCCACCGGCCCGGCGTGGCGCAGCCGAGCACGGGAACCACCGGGGGACACCCCGGAGCCCCCATGGGACCGCCGGGAGCAGCCGATGCTGCCGGAGCCCCCCGGGAGCTCCCAGCTCGGGGGGGTCGCGGCGCTGAGGGATGATGGCCCCCGGCAGGTGCGACCTTGGGGGTGTCCTTCGGACTGGAGCGGCGCCAGGGACAGCGGCCCCCCCGGCCGGGAGCAGCGGGGGCTCCGGCCCGGCCAAGGTGCCCTGCCCGCCTTATCTGGCACCGGCACCGGCAGCGGCAGCCGCGGCTCGCAGCGGCCGCGGGAGCGGGGCCATCCCGGAGCGGCGGCGGCCCCGTGACGGTGCCCAGCGCCGCACACGGATCGACGGAAGCCGCAGCCAACGCCCTGGAAAGTGCCCGGGGGGAGGGCCGGGGCCGCCCCGGCAGCTCGGATGCAGGTGGCTGCGGCCGCGCCGGGGCTGCGGGTGGGGGTCTCATAGGACCCCCGGACACCGGCATCCTCCCGGCGCTCCCCGGCCCCCTCTGTCACCAGATACCCGCCCCCAGAACTATTTGGCACCTCGGTGCCTCGGCACGGGGATGCTGCGGGAGGGTTTGGGCAGCCGGCTCGGCGCCAGGAAGCTCCTGCCGGGACCTCCACTCGTGAAAGTGTCGGGGTGGGCAGGGGGCGGCGGCACTGGGGGGCCACAGTCCGTCGGTGCTGAGTCACCCTTGGGTACCAGCACTCCCCCCGCTTGGGTACCACTCCCACCGGGATGCTCCCCCACGGCAGCTGAAGCCCCCCCAGAACCCAGGGCCGCACGCCTCTCCCCGCGTCCCCCACCCCACGGTGGGTGGGTCCCCCCTAAACCCCCCCAGGACCCCCACCCTGGCGGGCTGCAGGTGTCGTGTGGCTCCCCCTTCCCGGGTGGGCGGGGCGAGGGGCCGAGCC